ACAGCAGGGGCAATGGGAAGAGGCTTAGGGGAAAGGACGGGAGGAGATGTGAAAGATAGGATCCTTTCCATGAAAGTTAAACAATAAATCACAACTGCTATTGAAGGTGGATTACAAGCTTTAGATCTTCAAGTGTTGCCTGCCTTGTAGGAGCAAAGCTTGACAAAACCAAGAAAGAGTTCAGATGACTGCACAAAAGGTTCAGGATTCAGAACTTTCCCCTGAAATATGAGGAGGAATCCAGACCAACAGATGAAGAATTAACGTGCAAGAAAAAGTCTTCCACTGAGGTAACTGTACACAACACAAAGAAGACAGAGTTATCTGGCAAATGGCAGAAATTGCCTCCAAATTTATATTCTGGATTACAGCATATCATCTGAATAGTTTCCATGGTCAGGAATCATCCAGTTGGGCTCTTGGACAAAATGTCATCACCACCACTACAACAAAACCAAGTTACTTTTGCTTTCCTATTAATAATGTTACCTAAGTGGGACATTTAGCAGTCCCTGTTCCTGTAATGTCCCCATTACTGATGTAATGAGAAAACCATACATGTAACAAACTGAAACCAAATTAAACATGTTCCATGTCATTCCACCCTTCTAATAAATAACACCAAGCAGATCCCTGTGGGGGCTGGCGGCTGTCATTTCTTTTCAGTTTAGCATTTTGCCCTTGGGCTGCCTGTCCTTGGAGAGCAGTAACAGCTGAGGAGGTGATGAGAGAAGCAGTGTGGGCTGGTGTGCAGAACACCAGGTTGGGAACCCATGCATTCACCAGGGAGTCACCACTCTGTCTTATAACAGCCATTTCAACCTCAGTGAGATATGGAGAGGCAGATACTGCCATCTCAGAACTGTTCAGGGTGGGATTTTCTTGTGCCCATGAATGGAGCAGGACCAGAAAGCCAGGTACCCTGAAATGCACCTCTGGCTGACAGCACCTCAGAAGGATTTTTATGCACTCCCAGAGAGCTCCAAATCTTCAAGTCTCCTTCAACCTGCACTGGCAAGAGCTCCACAGGGGAGTCAACACAGTCACCGGCAGCTTTGGCTGCTCCCCCTCCACCTCCTTGCCAACTGCTTCTGCAAGCTGCGGGTAACCTTCGCCCACCCCCTAGAATAGAAGTTGAGACAATTTCCTTTCATGGAGGGCTTCCTGCCTTTGGGTTTCTATGCCAAGCTTTACACAAGCAAAAGCCTAGGGACAGATCTTGTGCAGAAAACAGTAAAGATAAAAGATGCAAGTTCTGCTTTGATGTATCGTGGGACATCGAGAACAACTCTGCTGCAAGAAGGAATTTGTGGTTGTGTCATAAAGAGCAAGATTTGCCCATAACCCTGTCTGTGTGCAAGCACAGCAAAGTTACTCTGTGAACCTATGAACTAGCTTCTGTGGTTCAGGTGAAATGGAAATGGCAGGTATATTTGATTGTACCTGTGCTTGACATACCCTCTTCACAATATGAATTTAGCAAAAATAAGTGGCAAACCAAGATTTTTTTCCAAGCAAGCTCGCAATCTAGTCCTAAATCCTCCATGGTTTCCTTCAGGAGTGGATCCTTTTTCCCTCTTCCCTCCACAAAATAACAGGAAGCTGTTCTGTCATTTGTGCCTGCTTGTAGGAAGTTGCATGTGAACACTCAGGGAGAGCCCTTGCTGAGAAATGGGAGGATAACTGTTTCCACATTGTTTAACTTACTTTCTTACCCGAGTGCTCACTTGCACCAAAATGCATGTGTCCCAGCGGCCTAGCCAGGATTGCTCTGTGTCTGACATGAAGGGCAAGGTAGATCCTCTGTTAAGTCTTCACTGTGTATCTTGAGTTCCTTTTGGCTGGTGATGACAGACTGGGTTTGAACAGGTCTTTTATCTGCTTTAGGATTCAGCACTTGTAATGAGGTGGTACTTTTGTTGCAGTAGCTTTGCTTACTTCAGCCTCCAAGAGCCTCAGGCAAGGCTGCTGTCTGTTGTCTTGTTTATTTTGGGTATCTGTAAGGCTAACATACACATCTCTACATACTGGCCAACAAATTCCCTTAGCTGAATGATGGTCTGATGGGACTCCGTGGTCATACTTGGTCTAACAGGGTTTTATGCATGTTATCTAGAGCCTGCAATACTTCCCCTGCCCCAACAGCCAGATTTGTCACCTGGAGATTTCCCTTCTCCTCTGTTCCACCAGCAGCCTGTGTCTTCACCGCAGGCAAGGTGAATAATTTTAGTCTGTCGTTACATGTTTGAGTGAGGGATTGCTCTTTCCAGGCCTTAGAATAGGGGGAGACTTTTTTGAGATTTGCAAATGGAACTTGGGATCCTAAGTCATCATTTGTTTTTGAAAGACGTGCTCTGCACCCATATCACGTTACTGCTCAGCTGCATGGCTTTTCCTAGACTATCTGAAAGTGGATCTCTACTGCTGTGTTCCAAAGGGGGGTTATTTTAATATTGTACTAAAATACTGACAATGAATACTTGTTACTTTGATTAGGCAGTAAGCACTGTCATCCTGGGTCTTGAGATTTTGAGTAAGTGGAGGTTGATTGCCAAAGTAGATTTTTGCTCTTTTGGATTTCACAGGATTTATTTTACTGCCAGTGCTGTTGGTGTCTCCCATGACACCTTCCAAATTTCACTGGGTGCATGAAGTCAAGACAAAATGTGATCTGAAAATCAAAATGTAACTGGAACCAGTTACTTCATGAGCCAAGAAGACAAGTTTAACCACAGTGAGACATCTTTTAGAGGAGACACAGCTTGCCTAATTGAATCAGAAGCTCCAGGATTTACATGGCAGCTCATCTTGAGACCACTTTGCTAATACACAGAAACTCAGCAATCTGCTGGACACAGATCAGACTACAGAATGCTTCAGGACGCATTTCAGCTCCACTGAAGGATAGCTGAGCACTACAAGAACTACAGCAGCCCACAAGACTACAAGACTCCCAGCTGCACGCCATTTGGTCTTAGACCAGATACCAGGACTCTTGGTCTTATGAGGGCCAGATGTCGCAATGGAATCACAGTTTTTAGCTGTTTGTTTTGGTTTCTGGATCAAGCCAGATAAGTTCTGTCACTTCCCAGATCCGCTGACTAAAAGCCAAAGAGGTGCATCCCATAGGCTTGGCAGAACTTGTCCCATGTATTTTATGCAGCCATCTAGTATTCATCCTAGGACCAAGGGTACCAGGGTGCAACAGGGTGCATCCCAAGGGCTCCTTTGACTTTGGCCACTTGTTGGGAATCTGCAGTGCCAGATGTGCCAGCACAGGTTAGAGAAGATCTTTTAGCCCGTACCTTGGCTTTTCTGTGAGGAACCTGAAAAATGAGACACAAAGGTAATGTACATAATTGGCTTTGATCAAAAGCCAGTGATAGAAAGACAGCTCTGCACTTTTGTCTCTCAACCCAAATGCTGTTTTGCCTGCTGATTGGCAGCTGTATTCTAATTTCCCTCTTAGGACACTGATCATAAGCATACTCCAAAATTACACTTGAAACAGCCTCTGGGGAAAACCAAAATCTTTGAAAAAAAAGAATTAGAATGCATATTTTACAGACAGTGATGGCTGTGACATCAGGCGATATTTTTAGGAGTCACATGCATTGGGAATGGGCAGGTCTTCAGCCTGTAGCATAAGACAGCTTAGGAAATCATCCTTGTAACAGTGACCCTGGGCTTGGTTTCACCCTGATGCTGGCCTCTCACAAGGACTGCAGCTATGCTGAGGCGGGGGTGTGTGTGTGTAGAATACTAGCATTATTCCATGCTAAAAACTATAGATGCACTTTGCATAGCTGATAAATCATGGAATTAAATAGAAGGCAGGAGAGGAAAGGCCTGAAGATTCTCATTGCAAGCAAAAAAGCAGACGATGTTCCTAGTGCTGCTTCAACAAACGCAGAGAGGCTTTGAAACACCACCTGGTACAAGCCAGGGTCTAGTCCAGTGGTTCCCAGTCTTTTTATAGTTTCTCCCAGGAGAATAATCAGTATTTCCCACGTCACTGAATCTAACTGCTCACCTGCCTCAGGGCTGCCGTCTCCCCCTGTTTGCTCAGGGTGCTTCTGCTTGAGAGCCTCCAGTTTCCAAGGCCTCGTATTACACCCCTGTTAATGTGAAACTGGGTGTCATGCCGGGTGTGCTCAGTTCAGTCACACTTCCAGGTACTCTCCTGATTAAGATGCAGGGATCTCAAATGACATAGACAACGCAAGTGCTGTGCTGTGAAAAGTTTACAGGCATATTGGAAAAACGTATTTGCATAAATCTCAGCCTTTTTTCTCCCATTAAAGTCTTAATGAGTCATGTGAAAATAATGAAGTTGGAAGTCTAAACTGTCCAGCTCCAAAGAAGCTGAGAGAGCAAAATGAGGGGAAACAAGAGCAAATGGAAGGAGAGGAAAATTAAGACTCTCATAAACTACTACATAAAAAGAGTATTTGGGCTTAAGGAAAAGAGACAGTGAAACAGTGAGGAGGTATGTCCTATTTCCCTTTTTCTTTAACACATTACCTTGACTTGGAAACACAAACACAATTGGTTCTATGCAAGAGGCACACACCCTCCCAAAAGAAATGTGATCATATGGAAGGCACCTCGGTGAAAAACATGAACGCATCCATGTCCCCAGCTATGTGTAACTCAAATCAATGCTCCAGCCTGTGCACCCTGCTCAGCAGGATCACTGCTGCAAGCAGCAGAAAAGTGCTTGCATTAAGAACAGTGGGAGCAAGCCCCTCTTTTTAACATAACTTACCTCTCTGTTAGCCAGCCAGGAGCACTCCTTTTAGAGGTACAGACCAGGTTTTAGCACGTGGGCCACTACAGTAAAAAAGGGCTTGGATTTGCTGGGTATGCATAAACAGAGCAATGGCCACTTCGAGCCAATTCTCCCCAGATATTGAGCTGCCCTGATGTACACCCAGTGACCGTGCCACCAAGGAAGTGACTGCAAAGTTTTCATTGCTCTCTGATGAGGTCCATAACTGTTTTTACACCTTCTTCTCTAAATAAGGAAGCTGCCTGTTTGGCCTCCGGCAGCCCAACCAATTTGACCCCTTTGCTTTCAGCAGCCAATGAAACCCCACTCCTGCCTCCGGTCTTGGGTGACAGCATTCATCAAACCTCAGCCAGCCTGGGAGGACGGCAGGTTAGTGTTACAGCCATGGCAGGCTCACCTCTGGCAAGCTGTTGATGTCAGAGTGATGATGCGGGGAGGGACAGCCTCTGCACTATAAAGATGGGTCAATCAAATATAACTGCGGCTGCCCACGGGAGAGCAGGATCTACAAAACATGGTCCCTACCAGTTCGAGTCCTGCCGGCCTGTCTCTGCTTCCAACTCAACTGCAATCGGGCTTTAGTTTCATGTCAGCAATCTCTATTTGCTTTCCAAAAATAAGCCTCTGCCACCATGCTGAAGGGAGAAAACCAAGAAGGGCGGTATTTTTAGGGCCATTAATTCTGACCACGTGCCCAGGAGGTGAACCGGATGGCCACTGCACAAAGACTTCTCATCACTATGTCCTGCGAAGCCAGCATTCACCGGACGTTGCCTGCTTTCGTTCTCCTGGGTTTTCTAACTGGGATTGCTTCAACACATCCAGTTGTAAGCAGAACTAATGGCACATTGCTGGAAAGAGGATGGCAGTCTCTGTTGTCCAGGTCCATTGCTGGGATGTCAGGGGAGAAGTCAGATGGCAACTGGGAGAGTGACTATTTGCTAGGAATCAAGAGGCAGCGGAGGCTTTACTGCAACGTGGGCATCGGGTTTCACCTTCAAATCCTCCCAGATGGAAGGATAAGCGGAGTTCACAATGAAAACCAATACAGTGAGTTGCATCCAGAAATGAAATAGAATAGATGTCACTTAATTGCTGTGAACTCTAGTAATTACCCTTCACAGAATGCAAATGTTATTACTTGATATTATTAATCTGTGCTGCATCTGTTGCCTTTTAAAAGTCTCTGGGATCAATAAACACTAGGACCCTTCAGGCTGAAACGTATCACAAATGCTTAGACAAATTTAAACACAATTTATTTTTACTCTGCTTTACTGCACTGATGAGAAAAGACAAACCAGGTTGAAAATTGTCTCTCTGCTGCATTTCCTCACTCCTCCCTTCTCATTTGCCTTTTGAATGCGAGAGGTTGTCACTGAGCTCAGAGTGCCAAAGTGTGGTTTCTGAATCCTAGATGACTAGTACTTCTGGGACACCTGGGGCTTGCTGTTCCTGGCTTGCTTGTTCTTATGAATGCTCCTCTGCTACCATAAGATTAAAGAAAAGCATTATCCCTATGGATTTAAAGTTTCTGTAGAGAGCAGTTGCTAAAATCCTTTGCAGCTAAGATAGCACAGGAGACTTCAAAATACAAGAAACGCTTCTCTGAAGCTTGGTAGTTAACACTTTGTAATTATAGCATATTAGCTACAAATAATTTGCTTACTGGAAGACCCAGGAGTCTGACAGATCAAGATAGTTTCATGGAGCAAAAGAATTATACAGCATGTGACTACAATTCCAAAATAATTCTTTTAAAATCCTGCAGCATGTAGTAAAAAACCTAGAAGCTTCTCTGTATTTCTAGGGAGATGATAATTCTAATAAGTGAATACAAAGAGTTCATTAGGGTTTTTAAATGAGTAAATTACAACTAAGTTGCCTTTGATTAGCTCTAAATTCTATGATAACTTTTCTTATTTTTTAAGGTCTCTTTGAAATATCCACAGTAGAGAGAGGTGTCGTTAGCCTGTTCGGTGTGAAAAGTGCTCTCTTCATCGCAATGAACAACAAAGGGAAGTTGTATGGAACGGTGAGTACAAGTGCGAATAGTTTTCTGAGGCTTAAACAAAGGCTGCAAAAGTGTTTTGGGCTTTTTTTCCTTGTGGAAATCTCTGATTACAAGCAGAGAAAATAGCCTTTCAATTAGAGGGAGCCTGCCCAACCTGGTGTCATCAGTGTTATTCAGTCCAACTGCCAGCATGGCTGTCAGAGGCCGGTGGTTTAAAGCTTTCCAATAAGATTGTAGAGGGAGCACACTAGGAAAATGAATGTATTCTGCAAACAGTATGCATTCATTAGATTGCTCAGCACTACAAGACTGACCTTTGTTGATTCCCTTTGTCTATAAAGCAAAAGGGTGTGCTCTGCAAAACCACCCCTGAGATCAATTGTGTGTGTATGTCCATGAGTGTGTGCGTGTATGCGATTGCATGTGTGTGTGTGTGCATACAGGCTTGTGTAGAAGAGGCACAATTAGAGCCATCTATACTAGCTACCATTAGTAAAATCATGACCACATGCTTCCCCCACCAAAACCAAGCACATAATGAAGAATAAATAGTAAGTCTACCCTCCAAAGTCAACACATGCACTTGGGGTTATTTTAGTGACCAGTTTTGTGAGATCAATCCAAAAGGGTGAGAAAACAATAATAGCTCGTAACAGTGGTATGCAGGTCATACTGAAATACCAACACCATCACCCTCATCTAGAAAGTGCTAGCTGTGATATCTAAATGCAATTTAATCTCTGAGGCATGAGCAAGGCATCTCCAATCTCAACATTCAGCAGAAAAAGTACTTGTTAGGAAGCAGGTTTGCAAGAGGCTGGGTTTGGGCGATAGGCAAAAGCAGTCCATCTCCAAGTAATGAATAGCACTGACTGCATTCATCTCTTTTGTCAAGAAACAGCAAAGCCATTTCCTTTGAAACAGCTGTACTTTCAACAAAGCGTTTCACTTGCCTAATAAAACACCAAATGTTGCAAAGGAGGCATAGCCATTCTTAATCTGACTGATTCCTTCTCACACAGACAATGACAATGGGGCATTTTAAGGTTCCACTTTAGGAATATTCTTTTAACTATGCCTGATTTAAGGCACCTAAAAAGAGCCACAAGTCCAACTGCTTTGCTTGGCTAGGTCTTCCTAAAGAAATGCAGGGTCTGTCTTCAGAGCTCCCTTTGATTTTTCCCCCTAGTTTCAATCCAGTCTTCTTTATTTTCCTGGCGGTGTTCAAGGCCAGGTTGGACAGCCTTTGACAACACAGACTAGGGTGAGGTGTCCCTGCCCATGGCAGGGCGTTTGGAACTAGATGATCTTAAGGTCCTTTCCAATCCAAACCATTCTGTGACTCTATGATTTTCAAAGATATTTTTAAAAGCTTTAAGAGATGAGCATTTTCCCTTGCAGAATGCAATGCCCTAAGTTAAACTCTTACAAGCTTTGAATGGTGTTTTTAAGAAGTCCAAATAGAGCAGCACTGATGGTGTCTCATGTGCCAAACATCTAATGTCAGACAATTATTCTGCTTTCTCTTTAAATTTCCTTGGTGCTCTGTGTATGTCTCCTGCTAGTCCTTGTACCTCCTCTGTCAGACAACTCCCTCTCCTTGGATTTATGTGATGTGACATGAAGAAAAATAAAACTGTTTTCCTGGTTTAGAACCTGCTGTGTGTCTTACTAGCAGCTAAATATAATAACACTAATGATTTAAAGAAAAGATTTAGTGCAGATCTGAGGTCTTATTCAAATGGCTTATTCAAGCAAATAGTAGTATTCAAGCAAAAAGTTCTCCCTGGATGAGAATTGAAGGTTTTGACAGCTAGCATGTCATTCTTTTATAGATTAAAGGACCTGTTGCAGAGGGGAGATATGAAATAAAGCTACATCATTTGGACAAAAGAACATGATGCTGGCAGAAACTATTGTTTTTATTGCTTGCAAATAAAATGAAGAATTCTATGATTTATGATGAATTAACTTGATCTGTCACAGGAAGTGCACAGTCCATTATCTGGACAGGTGGCATCTGGGTTCATCTGACACCAAATTAGCACTGAGGAGGGAGATTTATTGTTGGATGCAGTCGCTGCGGCACCACCTGTTGCACACTGCAACAGGCTCTTCTGTACTAGCGCTAGTAAGAGAAATTACTTGAGTCTTCTTGAGATATTTACTGTACCTGCTTTGTTCTTCCCCACCTCCTATTCTTTAGGCTGTTTTCCAAGATGAGTGCAAATTCAAAGAAACCTTGCTGCCTAATAACTACAACTCATATGAATCAGATGCTTACTGTGGTGCTTACATAGCACTCAGCAAACATGGGAGAGTGAAGAGAGGAAACAAGGTTTCTCCTGCTATGACAGTGACCCACTTCTTACCAAGAATATGAACACGGGCAAAGCTGAAGATTAAATCGCAGGAAAAACTCTTTCATTTTGCACATGGGAAGAATCTCCCAGGTAAAGTATTTATACTGTTCATTGAAAAAAAATGTATCTATGTGTATATTTGGATAAAAATATTTGTACTAGATTCATCACATAGCATATGTAATACAATGCTACTTCTCTTCTACTCTGTGCAAATTTTACATGGCTTGTGTGCCTCCTTTGGTGCTGAACAGAGAAAAATGCAAGCTGAATTGCAAAGGAAGTATTCGGAAGACAAAATGGCTGTAGGTAATCATCTGATTGATCATAGATTATCTACTAAATAATACTAATTACCTCAGAAAATAACCTTTCATAGTGAGCTGTTTACATATCATGGGCCAAATCATCAAAGGACTTTGCTTCATCAGAGCTTCAAGCAGTTCACTCCATCTGAATATCTGCCTGCACCTCCCCTTCTACACACTGTGTCCTCAATCTATTATATGGATCATTAGGATGCCAATTCCGCACCCATTTCTACACAAGCAAACTGCCTACCCCCAGAGTCCCTCTGTCTATGAAGGGATTCTCCATGGTATTCTCACATGGACTTGCTGGCAAAATGAAGATCTGCAATCAATTTCCCTTAGGAAGGGCCACAGGATAAATGACAGATGGGCCTCAAATGCAAAATACATTTGAAGCTTTTGATTTTGAATTGAAGGATTTTGAATGACGTTTTGTGAGCCTAGTTTAGATTCACCTCAAATACGAAAGTGTACACCTTTAATATCAATACATATGTGTACATATAGACACGGGGTGTGTGTGTACCTATGTAATTGCATACTTTTAATGAACCAAGCATCCCAACCTCTAGATGCCCAGGTGCCTTTATATGCATACGCACATAAAAGAGCATAAATATTTAAGGGCACTGTATTCCATTTAGGCTGAACCTTGTTAATCTCTAAGAATTAGAACTGGTCTGCAGGATGCATTTTATAAAATGTATGAAATTCATGAAAGCTTCCAGCAGAGGGTTATTTGAGAAAACTTCTGTGCTTTGAATTTTCCTGTATTTACTGCTTTAAGTGTATCTGATTCTTCTCTGTCATATCTTACTGGAGTATGAGTAACAGAGGAAGAAGGAGGCTATAAAAGTATGTCTTCCTGTGTTGGGGTAAACGAATTCGTGCTGTAATTCCAATTTCTGTCACTTGTAAAGCATCCTTTTCAAAGACAACACAGCAAGCGGTATGAAATACTCTCCAAAGCTCTCCTAGAAGCCATACAAATGGTGCATAACATTGCCTTGCTACTCTGACAACCTTTTTCCAGATCACCAACGAAGCTACATTCTCTGTGCCTTTGAAGGAGTATTTTAAGAGGTCCTAAGTCAATAGTCACTATAAATGTCAGTTACCAGAAGCCTTGGGATTCCTGCACTCATGGCGTGCTCCTAAATTTGAAACTAGATTCAATGCAATGTCAGAGCATGAGCATTTTCAGCATAGATGGACCATGTTGCTGTAGAAGTGAACATCTGAGTGCAAGATAATCTCCCATGTCCAGCCGAAATGTGTCTATGTCCAGCCTTGACATGCCATTCTATTTGCAGGAGGTGTCTATTCATGATGAATTTGAGCCTTCTGACATGCATGACAAACACTGTCAAGGCTAGGTCCTCAGCTGGAGTAAACCAACCTAGTAAGACTACTGTTTATTGTTGCAGAAGGTTTTGCCCAAAGAGCACACCTACAAGAATGCATCTACAGCCACACTTTCTGAAAAGTTATCAAGACAATTGTTTTGTGAAGAGGATACAGTTTTCCAGCTCCTTTTGTGTAATTTATACTTGAATTTGTTTTGCTCAAGTATAAGTGGTGATCACAGTGTAAATGATGAGAAAAGAAGAATGGAATACTGTTTACAGTACATGAACAGGACGCTTTGGATATGGTGAAGGAAAAGAGTTACTCTTCATTTTCTGGTCTTGCAGTAAGCAGAGAGAAACCAAGTTGGCACGCTTTGCTCATCCACAGTGTGTGCAGCAGTTTGTTTTGGAAAGATGTGCATTTTTAAGAGAAAAGGCAGAATGGTTTGAGTAGGGAGAAAGGGTGAGAGAAAAGTTGAAGGATATCAGACAGCAACCTAGAGTCTCCAGGTGTACAGATTGGAAGACTATAGCTGTGCTCAAATACATTAGCTGGTAACCTGTATCTTTGTGTTATGTTCCTAATTGTCTTTGAAATTAAGTTTAAAGAAGGACTGAAAAGTACATGGATGTAGAAGAAATCATAGTTTAAATGCTGACACACAAGTTCGTTTCTGATTACAGCTTAAACCAGTGTCCTTAGGGTAGGATGAAGTCTGCTCCCTCTTAAACCAGTGCAGTCAAGATTAATTTATTGTTGCCAGTGCTGGCAAATAATGGGATAGCTGGCATAAAAGGTGAGAATTAGACTCACTGGTTCCATTTTGCACATACTGGTCAACAGCAAGAACAAACTGTAGACCATGTCACAAGAAGTCTGTTTGTACACAGCCTGCTGGGCGGAACTTGTTCTTAAGAATTGCAGACCCTCGTGGATGCAGTTTTGGTGGGCATTTGGAAAGCCCCACCAGTCACTCTGCTGAGTTACTCTTTACACCACTGTCCTTTTCCTTACTGCATTATCAGTGCCAGCCAGACCAATACTGAAGTCAACACTGAAATCGAAACAGGTCTTCCGGTGCTAGGAATCTGACTAATATGAGAGTGAATCATGTCATTATCAGAAATGACAATGAAAGATGCCATTGCCAGGAGTGATAGCTGTGTCAATAAATCCCTCCAGCACAAATAGTGCAGTATGGGAGTGTTCTGGAGTTTTAGACTAGTTGGGTACAATAGTTTGACAGAGGTGAATGCATAGCTACTTTCAGGAGAGAATTAAGGCACATATTGACACATTAATGTGGATGTGCAAGCAGTCTAGTAGCAGCCCACAGTAGCAGAATGCACTGTGGCAGTGCTCAAGAAGTGATGCAACTTGCCTGGGAAATGGCCTGATCCTGTTCTGCCTCAATCTTGAGTAGCTAAATTCCACTTCCTCCTTCTCAGGCCATTATTGCCTGCATGGGAGTAGAAAGATTTAGGAAGACCACCAAACATTTTACACACCTCAGGATAAATTTGTTGAGCTGGCACAGAGGAAAAAAAAACCAAACCTAAACAAACTATTTGTAAGCTGGATGTACATGATATGGGGGCTATGGAGACAGTATGGGCATAGTCTGGCAAACTCTCAAGCAAAGCTTTCTTTGAAAGAATAGTTCAATGGATATGTAAAAGAAAACTCATGAAAGTAAAGGAGCTTTGCAAATCAGAGCCAAATTAGGAACCTGCTATTGACAGTTCTTATGTGGTCCCTTTCAGAGCATATATCATCTCAGTGTGCATTAATGCAGTTACGATATGGAATACAAGCTTTGAAAGCATTGCTGTTGAATGCCCCACACCAGCCTATCTTACCCATATTTTGCACATGGGATTCTGTGTGGAGTTGACGATACCTGTTTTCAAGTTTTCTTCTTCTTAGGCAAATCCCATACTAATTTAAGACCTTATCCACCTCCATTAGAAAACAGTCTTGGCTGGCACTGAATTATATTCTTAAATAATGTGATTTTCCCCAAACATGCAGAGATGCAGACACCCACAGTGGGAAAGCAGAGTGATTTTTGTATACCTCACTAAGTATTTCAATTCCAAGATTTTATTTTGCACAGTGAAATGGTGCCAAAGTTCTCACAGTATTTTTTTTTCACTAAAATATACCTCATATTCTGACTCAATATGGACTCACAATTGAGACTGTAAATTTACAAGAAACACGAAACTGTCCAATCGTTTGTGAAATTGCTTTTATTTTTATATGTATGTGCTGCGCACAATAGTTTAATGTATTCATGAAATAAACTTTTATACATTGTTGGTAGTGTTTTGACTCCAAATCCCTCTTAACATTTGTTTTTCTCCTTGCTTCAGAGTTGCTGTGTTAAATCCCACACAGAAACACACACAGTTTTTGTTCATCCCTAGAACCAGAGGATGTATTGGTACACTCAGAATTGTGGTAGACTTTTGTGTTCTTCAGACTCCTTGCCTAGGAAGTCATAAGGGAGTTGTGCTTGTTGTAGCAATCTGGGAGTTTCACAGAAGAGAAGGAAAATAAAAATGCAATCTGATTAAAGACAATCTGTTGTAGTCACCTGTCTAAATTCCAGGGATTTTACCTGGGGATGTTCTAGTGCAACTCTCCTGTTGACGGTGCTCTTCAGTGTGGTGCTGCCCTTACATACCCCTTACTTCATTAAATAAGAAAGGCCTCCTTTTGATAAATGGCATTTCTTCTTGCAGCTGTCTCTGACGGTTTTTGCCTCACTATGGCTCAAAGTTGGGTATTTTGGTAACACTGCTACGTTTCAGTGATTTGGTAAGTTTTGCTCTCCGTTTCTCCACTCACAAGTTGTCATTTAATCAGTCCTTCAGTTAGTTAAATGATTACGGAGCTCTCCCAGAGGAGACAGATTACGGTATTAGAAACCAATAGCTGGGAATCTGCCACATGTTTTTTGGTTCAAGTATCCATCAGCATGATATCACAGAGCGCACAAGTCTCCAAAGCTCTGATTGCTAGTGGCCCTTCTCAGGAGCAAAAGAACATCAGCACCACTACACTGGCTAAACCCCATTCTCTGCATTTGTGTTTTGGCTTCCTGTGATCCTCCTTTGCTTATAGGTTGTCAGAAATTCTTGCATATCATTGCTCTCTGTATGTGCCACATCTCACCAAGGAGAGGACTACATTTTGCTGGTGGCTTAAGCAATGCTTCTGTCTGCTATATGTTTACAGCTCTGAAGGCTGGTTACTGTAGGTGGAAGTGGGAATAGGAGAAGATACACAGCTCACATGCAGAGACTGGAAAGGACAGGACAAACTGGCAGCTGATGTAAACCAAGCTACCCCCAGCAAGAGAGAGACATCAGTGTTCCCATATGGATTCACCTGCAGAGGCTGGGAAAAGGCTACAGGTGGCCAGCTCACGGGACACCCCCTCAGACACAGGATAGTTTCTTCTCCCTGCATCACAGTTTGCCCTTCGAAAGAGGATGCTGCAGACACACCTGGGCAAGTGCCCAGGAGCCCTGTGAGGCACAGAGAGTGCCCATGCTCCCTTCCCCCCCAGTGCTTTCAGCTTAGAGAATTAAAAGTCTTCAGGGAATGTGGAGGACAAGGGATAGTAACTAAGACCATTGCTTGGTTTCTATAATTTCCTGCTTCCTCCCAGGTAATTTGAAACTTACTGATGTACCCGTTCCTACAGGTACACGTGTGTCACAGTAACCTTCACCTTCTCCTTCTCCTCTTTGATTTTGGTTTCTGCTCCAGCAACTCTCCACTGCTCAGCCTGGACAAGCTGTTGGATGCTTATCAGGGGGAGAGAAACTTTAATACACAGGAGCAAAAACAATTTAAACAAAAATAAGAATCAAATGTCTTTAAAGGGCACCTCTGGTAACTTACTGTGCCAATCCTGTTCTGGTCTCTTCTTTCCTCCCAAGTCCTTTTGTCTGACCTGTCACTGACAACATAACTGCTCTTCTGAAAAGTCTCTCCTTTCACCCAGAGCA